GGAATTGTTGGTTTAAAGCAAAATTATCAGTAGACATCTGCAGCCCAGAAATACATATAAGGGGAGCATGGATGCAGATTCAGACAGCTGGATTAGTCTCAGTATAATTAATTATACAAGGGATTAATGTATGCTATTGCATTTTCTCAATCTGCTGGGTTAGTTGCATTGTAAACAGTAATATAAAATGTTGAGTCCTGCCTACCAAAGTCATGGAGGTTGAAGACTTATTGTTTTGTGGGGAATATTTATATCACCGGAACTTCTTGTTTAAGAGGCAAATAGAGGAGAATCGATGCATTCTCATAGGTGGTTGATATTTTGATGCAAATGTATGATTTATAGAAATTACAATTTGTTTAAAATTCCCCGCAATATTGTTGCTTTTCTGCAGTGTCCGGGATGTGCAAAGCATTGTCTCACTGATACTTTCTGCTGTGAATCCCCGTGTGATGACTTGGTGTAAGGATCAAGGAAGTGGTTTTTAACTTGTGTTCTTCTTCATGCGTTCAAGCTCATTGCTACAGATGGCAGATCCCTGCCTTATTTTTAGCTATTTGAGAACAAAACAGAAAAATCTAGTGACTCCCCATGATTTGTCGTCATGGCTGATTTCCATTAAATTAAACATAGGGATTGGCAGAGGAACAAAACCAGCAGGAAAGCTGCTTCTGTTTGTTTTAAAAAAAGCTTGTCTAAAGCGCTAAAATAATACTGTAAAAAATATCCACTACTACATACAGAGACCTTGGAAGAGAAGTACTTGCTGAACAGTTTATCCTGTTTTGGATAAGGGAACTGAGGTCTGTATTGGTAAAACAAGTTCCCTGGAAGTCAGTTGAAGAGGAAAGATTAAAAAGCAAAAGATATCCTGGCCTGTGCCCAGGCCATTAGACTGCAGGTTTGTGTTCAAGGTTGGGGGCATAATGCCTATTTTGGTGGCTTGCTTGATGGAAAATTTTAAGATGGGCTCTTAAAGCATGAGCTGTGGAGTTGCGTTATTTGTATGTTTTATTATCCCTGTATTATGTATTGGTTTATTCCTTTGTACCCCCGTGTGCAACTTGGTTTATCCCCAGTTTTCCCGCCTTGTCCGCCCTTCCCGCCTTCCCAGTATCTATCCATCACCCTGAAAGAGGCATTTTACCCCCCCCGGGTGCCTTGTCTATCACTCGGTGCCCCTTCCCATCCATCCAGAAGCTTCTACCCAGGGCACCGGGTGATTGGGCGAGGACCTGGGGCTCCCCCCATATCCTTCCCCCATTGGACCCCACCATATCCCCCCATCCCGAAGCCACCCCCTATCCCTATCCCCATTGGTCGTTGGATACCCCTCCCTTACAGTTTATAAGCCAGTGCAAGCACCTTGTGCTTGTTCCTGTTGGCTGGCACCGTTCTAGGACATTTGGCCCCGTTGGGCTACAATAAACTCGGACTTAGCCCCCAGCAGGATCCGCTCTTCATTTACCACCGCGAGGCTTGCTAGCGCTGCTCGGGACCCACAAAGGCACTCTCCAAACCCCAGCTGGGAGCGGCGGAGGGTGCCTCCATCGCCCGCCCTCGCCCCAGGATGAGAGCTAGCCGGGGCTGAGACAAAGGGAACCGGGGCGGGAGCGCGGCAATGAGCATCTTATATTTTTTTTCCTTTGTTTCCCCTCATCTGTAGTGATCTGTTTTGTTGTGCATTTGCCTTGATATCTTGGGAAAAAAAATTTCAGTGGCCGTACTAAAATTCCCTGACTTTCCCAGTTACTGCACATGGCATGGTATAATGGAGAGTGATCTGTAGCTGTGTTGTAGCAGAGCTGTGGCTGTGCATAATGTTTACTGAAGAGCTCTGGTGCAAGATGTACTTAGGAGTGAGTGTGTGTTGATAAATTGTATTACTGGTCAGCTTTGATAGCTTTGCCTGTGTTGTGTCTGCTGAAACGCTGCCCTTGTGTTTCACTTCCCAACCAGTGTCCCCTTCTAAACAGAACTTCAGTTTCTATAAGTAATGTGGAGTTGGAGTTAAAACTTCTGTGTTGTTACGTACTCAGAGAACTGCCTGGCTCAGTAATTCTCTACAGCTCTTTAGTTTGGACCTCTCACTCTGGATGAGGCTGGGCTTGATGTCCCTTTCCCCAGACAATTCAGAAGCATGGGAACTCTAGGACCAAAATAGACTGTGACCCAACTGGTCAGGCCTGCATTTCCCTCTGCTGCTGAAAAAGCTCAGCTTTGCAATTCTGTCTTGTTCTCACACAAGAACAAGCCAATGCTTTCTTTTTTCCCAGATCCAATATTTGGCTGTGAGTTTTGCTGTATACATCAGAAGAAGCCAAAGAAAATGTTAATGTCTCGCTGCTAGCTGTGTAATACTTGTTGACTTGGTGCAGAGTGTTATTGGCCACTTGGAACTGCTGAGCCTTGAGGGTCTTGCATTATGGCTTTGTTTTGTTTTGTTTGTTTGGTTGTTTTTTTTTTACTTCCTTTTGGAATATAAATTCTCTTGTCTTCATTCATAAAATTACTACAGTCATTCATTAAAGTTTTCCTAAGCGGTTTGTTTTGACCTGCTGCAGCAGTTAGTTGCACAAGATAATTATATGGTAATATAAGGTAATACTGTTTTATTACACCAGGAATTGTGGCTTTGTTCCTGTATTTGCCAGAGGTTTGTTTAGAGCACTTAGTGTGTGTCTCAACTTTCCTCCACCTCACAAACACCTGAACTCGCCTATATTCCGAAGAGGACACTGTTGCCTTTATACCTCTGCAGACTTCTTCCTTGCACCCTCTAAAGTAAGGTCTTTGAGGGGATTTTTAGGGAATTTATAGGATTTCTCTGTTTTTAAAAATGGCTTTTTCAGTATCTTGGATGATTTTGTTCATCTGGAGTATTAAGAACTTAAATCTATGTCCTATACCTTAACATGCCTGCAAAATTAGCTGACTGAGCTTACTGCACTTTAAATTGGAGAGGCTTTTCCTGAAAAACTTTTCTTTCCTGTTCCCATTTTTCTGCGTGGGGTATTTGAAGTACTGTGACAGCTACAAATGGCAGGTGCTGCTTTCCCCTTGTCTTAAGCTAAAATTTCTATTTTTCCCATTTAGCTTTCTGCTTAGCTCTAGTCTTCCTTGCTAAAAACACTAAAAGTAAGTAATACAGTACATATGCTGTTTGTTAATGCTTGTCATAATCTTGCTACTTTGACCCTTTGGTTTTGGCTTCTATGTAGAGGACTGATAGATGGAGTCTCTTCAGCCAGAGTTGTGCTGTATCAGAAAAGCCTACACTGACATGGTCTTGATGGGTTGGTTTTGTTTTCACAGAGGAGGTTATTAGTCACTGAGCAAAAATTAGTCTTGCTGGTGCCCCACCTGACAGTGATGGTTCCCCTCCCAGCTCTCCTGTTAGATGGTGTTTGGGCTGCACTTCAGGGGGGTTTCTGCCTGTCTCTGTGCCAAATCCCCATATTAATCCATTGCTCTGTATGGCATGAGGGCTTGGAAAATGTGCTGACTTGGAGACCTCCCTCCTAACCGGTTTTGCCTCCCAGCTCTGGGCCAGGTGGCGGGTGTGTGCCTTTGGATCCAGCCGGAGTTGAAAGGTTGTGTTGACTTAGCACTGGGGCAGCTCTGTGCAAGCCAAATATTTAGCTTTCCATCTGATAACCTGTCGGTTGTTTCCTCCCTTGCAACAACCAAATGCTTATTTTATTCCCAGAGCAGTTGGGGCTTTCACAGAAGTTTTGTGTCTTTGTGGCTTCCGGTGTGGCAGATGTGAGGGTGCTGACAAGGTGGCCTTGTGACCAAGAATTGGGTGCAGCCATCGCTGCTCCTTGGCTCTCTGGTGATTTTGTTTCTTTTTGGTGTTATATTGGGTGAGTCAATTACTAGCTTTGTGTCTCTTTTTCCAGCTGTCAAAATGGGCTTTTGGTTTTGTTTTGGTTGTTGTTTATTTTAATTTAAATAAATAAATTAGAGGTTGACACTAAAAGGAAGTAAAAATAACCTATAGTAACTAGGACTCTCAAAGTTCAAAGAAAAACTTGTGTGATAATTTGCAGATATTAGGATTGCTGGACAACTGCAAGTTTAGGGTTAGGCTGACCAGCTGCAGTGAGTTGAGTTGAAGACCTTAGCAACCAAGAGAGCATTTTAAGTTCCAGAAACTAATTGTGCTTTGTATCAGTGCTCTGCAGCCATGTCATGGGGGTGGCTGGCTGCGCTTCCCTGCCAGGGAGTGCTGCACACGTGGCAGGTGTGTTTCCATAAAGCACAGACATCCTGCATGGAAAGTCTTGCCAGGAGTATCTGTGTTCTGTGGAGAAGGCAGAGTCAGTCCCTCACCATAGAGGCCATGAGTTGCTTCACCCCCAGTTGTTAAAGGCTTCCTCAGCAGGAAGAAGGTCGCTTTGAGATGGTGAGTTGCAGTGAGAGACCTGTGCTCTTCTTGTGCCACGTTGCACCAAGTGAGGATGGCCACGTTTCCTTTTCTGCTCTTGTGAGTAACTGGTGGTAGGACTTGTGGAGCCAAGGAGAGCCACTTGAATGTTTTCCAGCCTCTCAGAGTTCTCATGTCTCCGTGCAGCAAGGTTCCCAACAGGACTGGAGAGGCTCGGAGTTTTCTTCAATTAAAAAATGTTAACAGCATCAAAATAACTGACTGAGCTTTGTAGCATTTCCAGTGAAGAGATGGGGAACAGGCACACTTTCCATTCTGATGAGTCATTGACTCTCTGCTGATTTGCCTCTTGAAAGAGCTGTTTGGGCGGCTGCTGCTGCAGAAACATGATTCTGAGTGATGGGTCTTGGTGAGCAGGACAGGGCTGCACACTGTTTCACCTCTGAATTGGTGAGTAATTCATCTGCCTAGCTTTTTATCAGTAAAGTCTTGCACACTGCTGTGGTTCTTGCCTGCCTTGATCCTGCCACAATCCTGCCTCGTCAGGATAGCTGTGGAGCTGATGGGCAGGAAGGGTATCATGGCACAGAAAAAAAAAATTACCAAGTGCTTTCTGTGGCCCTAAAAGCAGGAACTGGAAATCAGAGCACCTGATGCTTTCTGGTTTTGGATTTTCTTGTAACTGTGTCACAAATTAAAGTTTTGTCTCTGTCCTGAAGCATGGTCTGCGCTAGGACCCAAGAGCTGTCCATACATCTATTCCCTATGTGTGGGCAGGACCACTGTCTGCTCTTGTGTAGTTGCTTTCCAGATTCTGCCTGTGTGTTTTTATGATGCCCACATCTGCCTCAGAGAGGAGGTCTTGGAGACAAGGTAATACTGGTTCTGAGGATTTGAGGATGAAGGGATTACAAGCATGTCACTTATTTTTTGAGGGAAATTGTAGGTGAACTGGAAAGAACAGTGTGGAATCACATTAATGGACTGAAGAGTCTTGTCAGGAAAAGCTTTTATCTTTCATTACTCACTTTTTCTGCATGACTCTATAAAATAAGATCACTGATGGGGTGGGGAATGCAAACAGAGAATAGAGCAGGGTGGATTCTTCATTAATACTTAATATGACTTGGAATATTATCTGTTGGCTTAAGGGATTTATGGACACCTTTTTTTCTTGTTTTCAAAGTAGAATCATGCCTTTGTTTATTAATTGAAAGCTATAAAAATGTTTTTCCCCATGTCTTTCTCCTCAAAAAGGAGGGCTGTTGATTGGTTCAAGGTGAAGAACAGGAGACTTAGAGGCAATCTGATCTGTAATCTCACTGCTTTGTTTAACTATCTGTGGCGCTTCAGTTTTGGGTGGCTAGTTTTACAAAATAAAAGCAAACAAAAAAAGGCATGGTTTTTGGGCAGATTTTTCTCCAATAAACGCCTACCTAATTTGATCTAACTCCAGTAAAGTTATTTAAAGCTTGGCTTGAGGAACTGCCCAGTCTATATGTTCATGAATCACCGTGAAAGAGCTTATTCAAGTGCATTTAAAGTATGTGCACTGACGTTAAGGATGGCTTCTTTCCATGGGCAGTTGTTTTTACTGGTAGAAACCTGCATTTTACTGGTTGGTAAAGCCAGGGGTTGGAATTGCGATTACTTCGTGTCCAAGTGTCTGTGTTGGTGAGTGTGTGAGGCATGGGGTGATACTAATGAGACCTGTTAAATTATTTACATGAATTATTGAATGCGGTATAAAATACCTTCTACTGTTAATAGCACTAATTAGACCACCAACTTATTGCATCCATTATCATAAGTATCCTATAGGTCAAATCAGACCAATTGTTTCAGCTACCACAGGCACTGTTGTAGCTAAATTCGGCTTAAAACGGCTTTCAAGTTTGTTCTTTTTTGGGGTTTTTTCATCATTTTTTTCCTTCACTTTTGCTGTTTATCAAAAGTGTCTGAATGCCTTAAGTGAATTCTGCATTGTTTGTTACTGCCCCTGCTCATCTTACACATGCAGGAGAATGTTCTTGTTTATATTTAATTCCTGAAATATAAATATTTCCAAATAAAACTCTAGAACATCCTAGGGAAAATTGTCTGAAAGGCATTGTTGACAAGATAGGTAAGATAGGCTTCAGTCTCTGTTGTGTTGCTATTGGAGATATGAGAGTATTAAAGTCTGCCAAAACATAATATTTACTTCAAAAGCAAAATTCTCCAATGTTTGTTCGCCTTTCATGCATTTTCATATCTCCTTTTTATTTTTTTTTTCTCTCTCTCTCCTGGATCTCTGTTTTTCACTATGTTTTTTTTGGGTTTGGTTTGGTTTGATTATTCCAACTGACTTTCATGTGGGTATGCAGAAAGCATTCATCCTTTGAAACATCTTGTTGGAAGTTTGAGAATTGGTATCCTGGTTTCAATCATGACAATTGTTTATTGGAGTAGAGATGAAGGATGGGAAATTTTAATACAAAGGGCAATTCTTTGAGGGAATTTTTTAGAGAAGTACTCCTGCACACTGTGTTCATGGTGACAGTCTGTGACTCACTGAGAAAACTTCTGGCATTTCTGCCAGCTGTGATTTCTTAGGATTTTAAAGGAGGTGATGACTGAATTATAAATAGACCATAGGTTCCATTTGTACATTTCAAAGCTACATCTAGAGTTTCCCTTCCCACAGAAGGTGTGTGTGCTTTTTTGGCCCCTGGATTGGTTCTGGCTATTCTATTTTTCCAAAAGGGCAGCTGATTTAGACTCCAGGCACACAGACACACCAAAGTCCTTGTAGTGAGGTACTCACTTGGTGTCTTGTTCCTGTACAGCACACGTGGACTCCAGTTCAGTCCTTCACTCCCTTATGTCTGCTGTTTCCACTGGAAACTTTCCCGACTGCCAAAATCATTGCAGTGTCACGTGAGAGACCAGTGAAATAGAAGAAAAATTGTATGGGAAGTGATAAAATCTGTGCCAGAAATTACAGTATTGTTTCTTATATTCTGAGTTGCCCAGCCTCTCTCATACCAGTTCATTTTAAGGACTTGATAGATTTAAGTGTGTCATTAAAAATAAATAGGTAAATAAATATGTACAAGTTTGCTTCTGAATTATTTTTCTTTTCAGGGCTGGGTTATGCAATTGCCCATATGTGCATTTAAAGTACATGCATACATGTGTGTTTTGCTGCATTTTCTGCTAATTAAACCCACTTTTAAATGTATGTATTACCTTGGTGTCATCTGGGCATTCTTAGCACAGAAGGGAGCTGAACGATTTTTTGCAGTTTCCTTCAAGGACACCAGTCTGTCTGTTCATAGCTCTGCCAGAGGGTGTCCAAATTACCTACCAGCATCAGAGCCTGGCAAGTAATGTTCTGGGTGCCTAAAAAGAGCTGTGAAGCTCTAGTAGCTCAACCACAACACGGAGAGGGCTCTTCCCAGGTTTGCCTTTGAAATGAAGCACACGTTTTTGTCATCTCCAGCTCTGGAGATGCTCAGTGGTGCTTTCCAGCCAGCAATAAGTGTTCTCAGTCATTGATGACTAATGTTTAGAGACACAGTGTCAGTGGTGTGTAGTACTACTACAGTGGTGTTCATTCTGGGTGTGCAAGAAGACACTGACCTGTTGCCATTGAAGTGGCACAGTGGTTTAGAGTGGTGATGGCTGTCCCACAGGGCTCTGAGTGTATGAGAATGGCTTCCTTCTGCATGAATTTGCTTGGCTGGAGCATGAACTAGGTGAGTATGACCAGCAGTTTAAACTTAAGTGATGTTTCTGCCTCCTTTGCAGATTTGGGAAGGCGTTTGAATCATTGTCTGGGTGTCGGGGCACAGCCTGCTGGAGGCACTGGAAGTGGACTGGTTCCTGGTCATGCCCGGTGGAAGGAGGGGCCCCAGCCGGCAGCAGCTAAGCCGTTCAGCTTTGCCTTCTCTCCAGACTCTGGTTGGTGGGAGCTGTGGAAACGGTACTGGTTTAAGAAACAGGTGAGGACAAAGGCAGGGTTGTTGAGACATCTGTGGCTAAGTCAGCGCTGAAAGCAAGGAGCCTTGATCCACCCTGAACCCTGTGTGGGGCATGGCTTTGTGGTGAAAGTGAGGGACTGGGAGAGGGGAACCTTGAGCCCTCCACTGTGGCATTATGAGATGGCTCATCCAAGAGGGAACAAGTCTTGCATGACAAACCTCTTCCAGCTTCTCTTCTCAGCTCTGCTGTGGTACATGCTTCTCTCTGCAGCCTCTCTTTTGACTTCATGCCTTTAAACCAGGCCCATGAAGGGGATTGTGGCAGTGGTCTCAGCCCCCCTTCAGCACTCACTGTGGTCACAAGAACCAGGGGTGGAAATCAGACAGTGCTCCTTTTGTCTTTCCTGCAGCAGTTTCCAGAGCAGTGAGTCCTAGCAAGAGTCCTTGTCTCGCTCACTTACCTTCACTGCCCTGGGGAATTAGTGTGACACATCAGAGTACAGCTGTGACTCCTCCTCCTACATAATAGAAAGGCAGGGCAAGAGGATGCCCATATTCTGTTTTAGAGCTGCTGGTTGCAGATGAAATTAATTCTCATGATAAAGATGACCTGCATTTTCTGGGGAAGTTGGGGGCTGAAACAGGAACACATACATGCAAGTAACATTGAGATTACCACATTTGGTATAAAAAACTGAAAGGGCCCAGCATTACTTCTTTCCATAAAAAGCTGGCAGACTAGAGAAGCTATTTGCTGCATGCTGGGGCCCTGGTATAGATTTATTCTGACAGACTAGAGCAATCCAAGCCACTTAGCTTTGGCTTTACAGACTTCTCTGTCAGGGGCAAAGGGACAGATAGCGCATTTTGAGCTTCTTGAGAAGGAAATGACTGTTGGGACTGTGGAGTCAGGGCCCCAGGGTCCTGGGGGTGTTGCTTATCTGGTTTCAGTCAGATATAGCATAGTTTCTCCACCAGTTCAGTATGCCAGAGCTTTTAGTTTTTGTAGCCTCCTCTGAAAGCTAGAAAAGAAGGAAGTGTGAGAACACTTGAGAGGTTAGCCTCTAGGAAGTGTCTGAACTACTCCATTCCATTTTCAGTTACTCCTCTTTTTAAAAGAGGAACTATGAACAAGAAAGACAATGGGCACTTTGCCATGCTGGAGAAGGAGGATGAGTGCTTCTGTAATGTCCTGGTGATGGGTGGAAAGAGCCCATATTAAGTGTTGGGTGTAGTACAGAGTCCTTAATGATTTTTGCTCTGTATGTCTGCTCTTCAGTCTGCAAGTTTACTGAAATATTGCTGGGCATGGCACAGCACTTCTAACAGATTCAGCTGTCATCCAGAAAAATTCTGGATAAGGGTTTTGTCTGAGCTAAGATGATGGAGTTCACCACCAGCCTCATGTCAGAAATAGGAATACAAGACTGCTGTCACCTCTCCCCTAGTAATGCCCAGTCTCAAATTCACAACCTCAAGCACACTATCCTGGAAAATATCAGAGATTATGTAGAATGTTTACCAAGTAAGTGATGTCCATCTGCTTCAGGAATGGTAGTGCCATCAGCCTGTCGGCGCCTCCGATCACAGCACTGATTACTCCAGAGCCTGTGCGTCACTGCCGGATCCCTGAACTGCCATTGGATGGGAGCCTTCTCTTTGAATTCCTGTTCTTCATCTACCTTCTGGTAGCCCTCTTCATTCAGTACATCAACATCTACAAGACTGTCTGGTGGTACCCATACAATCACCCTGCTTCCTGCACCTCACTGGTGAGTTCCCCAGCAAGTGCCATCACTTGGGCATTTTCATTGCACAGCTTCTTTTCATGCTTCTTCAGTCCGGAAATCACCAAGCATTTGATATTAAGGGAGTGAACGAGAGTTCACATGCACCCCCATCAGTCAGGGCCATGTCATCTCCCATTTTACAGGGCAGAAAAGACATGGCAGGAGAGAGGAGTCAGCAGGACTCCTTCAGGAGAAATTTCTTGCACATGTTTGCATGGTCTAGCTAGCCCCTAGGGTTTGACACAGAGTTGAGACTCCAGGAACCGTCTCGTGCTGTGAGTGCCACTTGCCAGTCAAAACAACAGAGCCTGAGAGAAGGAAGATGTGCAGATTTTTCTTAGGGTCCCACAGCAGGTCAGCAGCACAGTTGGTGAGGGGGTCAGATCCTCAGCTTATGTAAAGCTCTCAACCTCCTCGGTTTCAGTGTTCTTGCTGTCCCAATAAGCTGCCTGTGAGCCAGTGAGCCTCACGTGAGCAAAGCCAGCCTGTGCAGCTGGAACCATGTCCTAAAGGCTGCTTGGAAGCACGAGGTGGTCCCTCAGTTACCTGTACCGACAGGTGGTGCTGGTGTTCCAGTCACCAGCCTCCTGCTCAGCTCTGCCCTGCTGGAAACGGCTGGCTTAGAAGTAAAAGCATTCTGTTTGGGGCTCCCTACCCAGCAGGATTTAATGGTCGTTTCCCATCACAACTCAAGCATTCTTTTTTACCCAAAATGTCCTTGAAGTACCAAAACCAGCAGTATTCAGAGTCTACTAACTCTTCTGGCCAGAATATATTAGATGGCTTCACTGAAAAGCTGTAAGAGATACGTCTAACTTGATGCAGCTAGAGAACTTAATGGTCAGTGAAGATGAGGTTTTTCAGATCAGTTTGGTTTCATCAGGAAGCACTGGTTGCTACAGACCATTTTTGAGACCAAGAAGGAAGGTGAGCTGCTGTGCTCACTCTGGACGCCGATTTGGCTGCCCTTTGTCTGGTTGTTTAGGGGCTTTTCTGTGGAGAACCTGAAACCTATTCTTCATGGTAGGATTCTGGTTCTAGATGTTCCTTTGACCCCAAAAATACCTGCCTGAATGGTGGGTTTGTTTTGTTTTCTGTGGAAACCTCTTCATGGGAAGGAATCTCCCTGTGGAGGAGATCTTGCTTCTGGAGATGTTCCTGTGTTGCTAATGTATATTTCTTTTCCTTCATTCCTAATAGAGAGATTTGGAGAATGCTTATGTGAGGTCCTAATGTACTCTCCAGCAGCCAGCTTTCTAGTCCCACCCCATGTGGGTGGTTTCAGAGTCCCCTTTCCTGGTGAAGACCTTTTTTCTTTCCTCCTTCAGAATTTTCACCTCATTGACTACCACCTGGCGGCGTTCATCACGGTGATGCTGGCACGGAGGCTGGTGTGGGCCATTATCTCTGAGGTAACATTCCCACTGTTCCCTCTCCTGCCTGTAGAACTTGCTGTAGAACATGGTCATCCATGGCCTAAAAAAAATCTGCAGGTTGGAAGGTTTCTTCCCTCAGAAGAGTGTGGGTGTGAAGGACTAAGATTTTGAGGATGCCCTGCTGCCTTGGAGTTTTCTCCTTGAGACCAGTCATGTCCTGTAGTATTGGGTAGCTCTGTTGGCTCTGCTGGGAGGAGATTAAATGGTCCCACTTGCTTATTTATCTCTGCAGGTACAATACTGTACCCCACTATCTCATGATGGAGAAGTGGCCAGGAGACTTGCAAGTCAGGTAGCAAAAAGGCAAACAGGGAGGTTGGCCAAGACAAGAAGAATGAACAGGAGCTCAGACGGGGAAGGGTCAGGAGGAGGATGTCTGACTACACTGAAGTGAAATAGGAATACTGGTATGACTCCTTTTCCAGTTCTGGTTACTCAGTAACTCAGACTCTGGTCATGTTACCACAGATTTTGAGACCTTCTCTGTGTCTGTGGGAGCAGAACCAGGCCAAATTAGGTCTCTGTAAAAGGTCATTTTCAGGAAAATAGAAGTTTTGTCCACTGAAATGGTTAATACAACTCTAGGCTAAGCAACTAAGCAGTGTTTAAAAATAAGTAAATTAAATAAAGGAACAGTTACATCCTGTTGAATAGATAAGTGGAGAAGGTGGGAACTCTGAAGGTCTATTTTCAACTGATTCCTTCCATTTTCATTTATGGTCACATCCTCCATAAGATTTGCCATAGACTGAAACTTCTGCATTCAAATCTTCCATGCAGGTTCTTGAGCATCCCACGTATTGGCTCTAACCCTTAAGAACCTTTTCATAATTCAGTTTTCTTCTCTCCTCTGGAGATTGGATCAGGCTTTCTTTCTTTCCTCCTCACTACACTGCAGCCTGCACATCCAATAGAGTTAAATTAGGAAATCTGGGTTTGGGATTGACAAGGTGTACATCTTTTCTTCCCTCAGCTGTGAACTGTGACCTTTCACAATGCTGAGACCTGATCCTTCTAAAGAAAAGAAAGAGAGGAAATGGGTCTCAGGCCATCTTGGACTATGATCAGAGCAATAAGGGACTTGAGCAAAAATATTTTTCTGCTTTGCAGCTCTGAATTTTTTCTTCAGAGGTCCTATTTTAGTCATGCCCCACAAGTTGTAATTATTTGAATCTTTTGGATCCTGTCAATCGTTAATAAAATTGAAGGAATTTGTGCTTGTAAGAGAATCAGTTTCCTGCTTCTGAGAGGAAGAGGGCAGCTATCCCTCTTCCAGTACCTCCTGGCACCCCTCTCCCTGTTCCTCCTCCACAGGCATCCCTCGTGCTCATCTTCTAGCACTGGTTGTTCAGGGTGCTGAGTGTTCCCTCTCTGTTTGCAGGCCTCTCAGGTGGGTGCAACATCACTGATGCGCTACATGGTGCGCCTGGTGCTGCTCACCCTCTGTGGATGGGTGCTCTGCTGGACTCTGGTCAACCTCTTCCGCAGCCATTCTGTTCTCAACCTTCTCTTCCTGGGCTACCCGTGAGTGACACCACTTTGAACCTTCTGGGCGGGGGGGGGCACAGATGCTTGGGGGTGCCATGAGCCACCGTGGGAAGCAGAGTGCTGGCTGTAATGTCTCCTTGATTTAGGATTAAAAAGGAAGCAGGGGGATGGTGTGAGGAGGTGGCACTGAGCTGATGAAGTGAATTGCCTCAGCTGTTGTTTGTGTGAGGGGCCTTTACTGCCACTTGAAAGCTGAGCCTTTGGGATTGTTGGTTCTACAAATGGGATTTTAAAAAAGTTCTCTGCACAGGTGATGAAACTGCAGCCTCTGGCCTTTTAGTGGAGAGGCTGTTAGCTTCTGGAGTCAGGGTTCCTATGTGCTGTCACTCTTGTCAGGGCCAGTATCAGTTGGGGAGGTGTCCCCTGCTCCCTGTTGGGATGGCTATTATTACAGCCATTTTTTTCTTTCCTTCATGGCAGGTTTGGTGTCTACGTCCCTCTGTGCTGCTTCCACCAGGACAGCAGAGCACAGCCTCTACCTGCAGACTGTGGTTACTTGGTACAGGACCAGGTGGCAGATGATGGGGCTTCAGCTGTCAGCAGCCTGGTCAAAGACTTCTTCTCGCTTCTGTGGGAATCCCTGAGAGAACAGTTCAATAATCCTACGTCTATCCCCACCCACAGCTGCCCCCTTTCCCCAGATCTTATCCGCAATGAGGTGGAGTGCCTAAAAGCAGACTTCAACCGCAGGATCAAGGAAGTGCTCTTCAACTCTCTCTTCAGTGCCTACTACGTGGCATTCCTGCCACTGTGCTTTGTGAAGGTAGCTGTTGTCTGTCTCTCTCTGTGCCCCTGCCCACTGTCTCCTTCTGAATGTTGTGTGAACTGCTGCCAGGCCAGATTCCTGGTTAATCCCCCTTTTCTCTGTCTCCCCTTTGGCAGCCCGGATAGCGGAGCATGGCTGCATCCGGAGTGCACTAGTACTGCTCCTGGTTGGCAGATAGGTATTGCCATAAATGTGATGCACCTCTAGACCCATCACCCCACTTACTAACTCCCCTTCTCCCACCCCCTGTCCTAGGCAGGTGGATAGCTGTGTTCTTCCTAGAAAAGAGAACCTGTTGTTACCCGTCTCAGATCCAACATTGTGGCTTTTGAATGCTTGGATCAGAGGCTTTGGTGGTCAGCCTGTCAGAGCCAACTAGGATGCTTGGCAAACAAAATCCAAGAACCTCGTCAGTGTGGGGGTTATATTTTTTCATCTGTCATTTCTCTAACTTGAATAAGCTCCAGTTTGTGCAGAGAAATGGGCAGGGCTCCACAATCCGTGTAGCAGTCTTGGTGCAATTGGTGCTCCTGGGGCAGTTCTGTTGGCAAGCAAACTGCCTTGTTACCTGCTGCTGGAGGAGGAGATGCACCAGCTGCAGCATCATCCCCTGTCCTTTCTCCTGCAGCTCAAGGAGAAGGGAGCCTTGAGTGCCTCCTAAGCTGTAACCCTCCGAAATCACCGGTCCAAAAGCGCATGCCTGTAACGTGTGGTGTGGGTCTGCTGGATGCACATGCAGTATGTCCCTTGTCGTTCCTCCTTCTGCTTTGTGACAGTGGTGCCAAGTTCTTGTCTGGTCTCTTTGCAGAGCACCCAGTACTATGACATGCGCTGGTCCTGCGAGCACCTCATCATGGTGTGGATCAATGCCTTTGTCATGCTCACCACGCAGCTGCTGCCTCCCAAGTACTGTGACCTGCTCCACAGGTCTGCCGCCCACCTCGGCAAGTGGCAGAAATTAGAACACGGCTCCTACAGCAATGCTCCACAACACATGTGAGTGTGGGAATGGGCAGGGATTGGCATGCCTAGCAAGGGGCCGAGATGCTCCAGTGGATGAGCAAATACCACCAGGGTTTATCTGCTGAGGATGTGTCTCCACTCCCCTGCAACTATTAGACTCGTTCACTCAAAACAGAAATGGCTGCTCTAGAGGGCTGTCTGAGCTCCTCCAGTCACTGCTGGATGCTTCACAGAAAGAAATGCTGAGATTCTTCTTGGCCACTGGAGAGTATCTTGAGCAGAGGCAGGCAGTGGCCCCCTCCACTGCAGGTTCTTGCACTGGGAGCCATTTGTTCATGTTACTTAGAGTCCATTGGATGGGCTTGTGATCAACGCTCTGTGCTTTTCCAGTGGGAGCTAGGCCATGACCTTATGGCAGAGGCTTTGGTATTTTTCAAGACGCAGTCCATTCCTGGGAACCCTCATTCTGGGGATTGGAGGGTTGGGAGCACAGATAGTAATGTTCTGGCATTGTTTCCCCACAGCTGGTCAGAAAACACAATATGGCCACAGGGAGTTCTGGTGCGACGGAGCCGGTGCCTGTATAAAGCAGTTGGGCCTTACAACGTAGCAGTGCCTTCAGACGTGTCCCATGCCCGCTTTTATGCAAGTATCTCTTCTCTTGCTTGGTGCCTTACGACTGTGGGAGGGAGGAGAGGCTCAAATCCAGCTGCAGCAGAGCAGATTGTGCAGGAGAGAGTTCAGTGTTCCATGACAGGCTGGTGCTGCTGAGCAAAACACATCTTGCCAGCAGTGGGGCTTTCCCATTCTGTCTTACAGTGACCTCTGGGCAAGATGGGAACCATGGCTGAGGTGACACAGCTCTCCCATCAGGCAGTGGCATTCCCCTGAGAGGAATGGGAATTTCCCTTTCAGGGAAATGGGAAAGTGTGTCAGCAGGCCAATAGGTTTATTTCACCCGCTTCCCCTTCTCAAGCAAAATGCCACTTCTCCATGCCTTTTTTTTACTGTTTTCCCTAAGTAGCAGCTAATGGTGGCTGGAGTACAACTATTGCTTCTGCCCAGCTTTATGTCCATATTCCTTATCACTAAAACTCAGCAAGAAATGACAGAAACCTCTCGTTCTTAACTCTTTCCCTGCAGTTCCTCTTTCACCGTCCCTTACGGCTGCTCAACCTGCTGATTCTCATCGAAGGCAGTGTGGTCTGCTACCAGCTCTACTCCCTGCTGCGCTCAGAGAAGTGGAACCACACCCTCTCCATGGCCCTCATCCTCTTCTGCAACTATTATGTCTTATTTAAGCTCCTCCGGGACCGGATAGTATTAGGCAGGGCATACTCCTACCCACTTAACAACTATGGACTCAAGGCACACTAGGCTGGCCAGACGTGTACCCCTTCTCTTCCTCATCCCACAGGGCAGGGAGGGAACCTCAGAAAAAAATAATTTCGTACAGTTCTATTTTTTTCTTGCGACGTTTATAAATATTTAAAATATTTTATATTTTGTATACTATTGTTTTTGTGGGGCGGGAAGGGAACCAGTGGCAATTAAATGTCGCTTTATAAACAAGGCGTTATTTTATATATATATATATATATATATATATTAAAAAGAAAATCCATGTGTATATACCATATATCTATACCCATACATATATTTGTGTGAAGCAACAGGATTGTGTGTGTGGTCACTGTGTCTGCTTTGCTCACAGAACTGCTGGTAACTAGGAACAGGTCTGCTGTAGAATTTGGATAAACTAACAGCCGGGGGAAAAAAGGAAAGACAGGGGGCTTTCACCAGGATGAGTACAGTTTATTTTAGTGACCTCAGTACTAGGAAATTCTTGCACTGGAAATGTGCATTGATGAGATATGTTTAGGGAAAGGGAGGAAGCAGTGCTAATGTCAGCCAGTACAAACTCAGTTCTTTTTTCTTCCCACTGTTAGAAGGATGCAGGTATTTTTAAAAAATGTTTACTTTGGCCTCTCTCCTCCTAGCAACCTGAGCTCCCTCACCATGCCCACAGAATGAACTAAATTGGAATTTTAGAGTAGCATATCATTTAGGAAGGGATTTGAAAAAAAGAGCTTGCTTATCTAGCAGGCTTGTAATTGAGTATTTTAGACACTCATCTCTTTAATTCCTTGAGTAACACCATTGAATTAGGAAATACTCAGCTATTTCCTTCAAGCAGTATTTAGTCTTGTGAAACTCTTACCAACCAACTCCCTTATTGCTAAGCAGTACATTTCAGTAGTTTCATTGTAATTGACGTTGGTAGTGTTAATAACTTATCATTAATAATACAGGAAATACTTTGCTTTGAGACTGTTCTTCCTAAAGCTGAGCTATACTAGGCTCCAGTGAAAAAACAGTTGTGGCAGTATCCCATTCAAGATAAAAAGCATTTCAACCGTAAAAGTATCTGTGCATGCTGGTGACAGCTGATGGTAAAAGTTGATGTTTTTAACTCAGGTAATTAAGCAGGGGACAGCAATGCAATGTTCTTGCATTCAAATGCCATCTGACAACTTCAGCCATTAGTGAAGTGCTAGCTCTAGTTAGGGAGTATGTAGTAGTATGGGGAAAAAATCCTGAAACTGTACTGAGTTTGGGAGAAATTGCAACTACTTTCTGCTTCTTCTTCCACACTATGTAAGAATTCAGTGATCTCTTCTGTCTGTAGGACAGCTGCTCCAGCAGCCTGATCACAATTCCAGGATGCCTGATAATGTAGGCAACAGGAGATGCCTCTGAGCACTCACCCCAGAATGAACACAGATGCTTAGGTTTAGTTACTCATAAGCCTTTCCTTTCACATGGTCCTAATGTTGCTGGCAGGACAAAGGTACTAGGGAATTTCCAGTCTGGAGCCTTTCAATAGAAGAACATGGTGGCTTACAGCCATGTCATGCTGTATGTAGTAATCCATGTCTACCTTGATTACTCTAGGAAGTAATTTAAAGATAAGAGAAGGTTGGCTTCTTATATAGAGCAGGCTCTTTTCTGCATATGCTCTTTTACTCTTTGTGCAACACCTTTCTTGCATCCAGCTTCAATTTTGCAGTAGCTCAGTAGCATTTCCTACAGATTCCACCTGTTACTGATAGCTGGCTCAGCACCCCTTGAACAGTATTTCAAAGCATTATCCAGTGGTTTCTACCATTTGGACACCTACATTATAGTAGGCTTAAATATAAGCAACCAGCAGGAGAAAAGAGGGTCTTCAAGGCTTAGCTTGGGAAATGGAGATGTGCAAAAGAAAGCCAGAACATTGCACCAGGGCTTTGCGGTGGAGTCAGGGACGGTTCACGGTGTGGCTTTTCCTCCCCTTGCATGCCAGGCTGAAGGGAGGCAGGATTCTGGGGCAGTGAGCACACCCAGACGCTGTGCAGCCATTAGGCTGTCCTTGTACTGCTGGCAGCACCTCCTTAGCTACAGGCTTTATTGGTTTGCTCCCAGTGCCTGAGTACAGGGCCAAAACAAACACTGCCTAAAGTGCAGGTGGGTAAGATCCTCCTCATTCCAGTAGTGCTAGGGAGTGTTTGCTGCCTTTCCCCTTCAGAAACAAGACCTTTGTTCTGTCCTGAAGGAGGAGTTCCATGACAAGGTTAAGGTTGAACCTTGCCATGTACAGTAGTATGAACTGCCTGCATTCAGTCCTGCAGATGCAACTGCATTCCACCCATACACAGAACTCGTACCTGAGAAGAAATTAAAGAAGATAGTTGCAGCTTCCCCCTGTTGGCAAAAACCCAACTAGCTAGCACAGTTAGTCTCCCTAGTATAAACTGGACCATCCACCAAGCAGGGAGCAGAAATTATGTCTGCCCAGCCTCAGTGCCTGATTAGATCAATGGTTTGTCCCCATTGCTCAGATGGGCCTGCTACTATGCCTTATTCTGATGATCACTGAAAATAAGTTCACTCTAATACTTGGTCAGGTCAGACTAGGAAAAAGCCAGACTTGTTTCCCATCTTGGTTGTTCCGTCATGCAAGGATGTCATAATAAATGGATGGTTTTTTGGTCTGGTCACGGAACTGCTCTAGCTTTAGGCCGATCCTCAGAAGAACAGCTTCATCCCACCATTTTGCCATGACCTGAGAGAAGATGAGAGGCAGAAGGAGAAGGATGAATTAAAAAAGTAGCATTATACAGATGCTTTTGAAAGTCTTGGAAACAATCTCCCCCCGCCTCAACATCCTCAAAAGATGTTTTCTCCTTTTACCCCAGTAAGTATGGCATCACTGTATTTGGGAAGGCAGCTGTGTGACTTTAGATTGCAAGACATAGATCTTTCCCTTATATGAGACCTATTTCAAGGGGAAAGGATTTATAAGAAGTTACAGAAATGAGAAATAAGAGAGGAAAGGGTAGTGACCAATACTGTGTATTGATGCAAGTAGACAGGGAGACAAAGATGCCTTTCTCAAAGATACGCAGAGACCTCTGTCATTTAGGAGTGAGGCAAATCACCCCCAAATTAAAGCTTTTATTTCCAGTACCTGCTAGCTCCTCAACTCAGCTGTGTGGAACAGCAGAGACCTGATTTTGATGCTTTAGGACAAAGCCAACTGGGGATTTTGTGCCCCAGCATTCACAAAGAACAAATACTCACCTGGAGGCTAATTGGAAGCCCAGCAGTAGAATATCCAATGGGGACCACAAGGCCTGGAATCCCAGTGAAGTTACCAAGCTGCATGAACCTAGGGGGAAAAAGGCTGTCATTGGTATTCCTGGGGACAGCAGCAAATTCATCCTTTTTTGATAGAGGCAGCTATGATTAATCTCTCCCACCTTACAGTCTGAGGTTCTTTTCCAGCTGTTCCCTTGTTTCTGTAGTGCAAGTAGCACTTTCCTTACCTCATGGACCGGACTGTGAAGGACATATCACTGCTCCCAGTCAAGAGGTCAGATTCATAAATTCTTGGAGCAGTGCAAGGAACAGCTGTGGAGGAATCACAAAATGACTGAACTTGAAAGGGACTTCAGGAAGTCATCCTGTCTAACCTTCTGGCTCAGGAATGGTCAGCAAATGCAGGGTTGCCCATGACCATGTCCAAATAGCTTTTGAATATTCCCAGGGATGAAGATCCCACAGGCTCTCTGGGCAACTTGATGCAGTGCCATGGATATAACAAGTCTAGAAATACACAGCAATCATTTTCTAATCAGGCAGCATTATCCTCTAAGGGTGCAAGGCACAGCAAAGTGCACAAAAGTCATACTCTCAAAACTGAGGAGGGAGAGTTAATGAAGTGACTGCTCTTAAAAGGCACCACACAGCTGTTGAGGATTGGCTCTTTAGCCAAGAGTGCCAGTACCTGGTGTAAGGATACAGTTGACAGTGCTGAAGATCTCTTGCAAAAATCTCATGCTCCGAGTTCTCTGTCGATTTGCCTGCAAGCAGAGACAATACTGTCTAATGGGCCCTCTTGGCTCACAAAATTTATGTTTGATGTTGGCAGACTCTGCCCCTCAGCATCTCTGCCTTTGTAAAAGAAGACACCATTCCTGTAATTTGGAATCAGGGTACAGGGCAAGTGGCATGTCCTCTGTGGTGCCCTACCATCCAGCATGCTTTCACAGCAGAGGACAACTAAAGCTGGGTGACATCTTCCTATGGGTGTGGGGAAGCTAAGAGAAGCTCCTACCCCACCTATACAGTTTCACCATGTGCCTCCCTTCAGCCTTCACCCCAGTATGTTCCTTACCTTAATATAATCCAGAGCTGTGAACTGGGAAGCCAAGGCTAGGCTAGCCCGAGTTTCCAAATTCTGAAATAGAAAAAACTGGTCAAGGCTCTGCTTGCAGGAAACTGAACTGTGACAGCCCAGGAGTTCTCTTCCAGGTCTGCTCTTCTATACCAGTAGCAATCCAACATGTAGTTTGTCATAGAAGAAGCAGGAGCACCTCAGGTTTCTCACTGACATGACATTTGATCCATATCAGCCAGAACAACTACTCACACTGCTCCAAGCTGCTGCTACTTACCATTTCATGGAAATGTTTATTGAAGTCAGGTTGCAGGAAGTCCCTCATCTCACTGAGAATGCAGATCACATGTGCCACTCGGGCTTCTTCTATCTCTGGAAGAGAGACTTCAACCACACTGGCTCCCAAACTCTGCAGGTGCTTCACCGCTGTGTATGGGACAGATAAAGCACAGACAGCATCCCTGAGATCTCCAGACTTCACAGAAAGGCTGCAAAATTCCCAACCCCTGCAGAGTCAGAGACCCCATACACCATGGCAGGGTGAGCATCTTCAGTGCACTGTGTGACATGCACAGCTGCAGCTGCTTCCCCTAGGGAAATGCTTTCAACCTAATACATCTCAGTATTCCAACAGGGCAGGGGCTGCAGACAGGCTCTTAACTTGCCTGCTGTATTTCAGGCAAATTCACCTTACCCCACTAGCCTCCCAGTTAAGCCAAAGAGTAGAAGGACTAACAGTATTTCCCTGAGCACTTCACATGGCCAGTGTTCTATCAGCATGAAGTGATGATTTAGCATCAAGAGATTCCCATTCAAAGTCTCTTCTGAACCATAATAGTAAAGGAACCAGGGAATACTCAAGAGACCAGGTAAACAATACAGAGCTCCTAAATTATGATGCACTTTAACAAGGCTGAACACCAAGACTCTGGGAAAAGTAAATTTTTTGCAGTCTG